ACGTTCACAACTCCACTAGTTGGAGGTAGTTCAACAGCTGCTGTGGAGAGTAGTGTTGCACTTCTGAAACCAGAGAACTCGATTTCTATTAATTGTTCTGTGTATTTCATTAATGAAGACTTTTGTCTTATAGAGAAGGATAGTGTTCATCTTTGAATAAATTAGAAAGCATTCAATATTGGTCGGTAGTCATTGAAGAGATCCGCGCCGCTGTTGCTGATCGGAGTCAAAGGTTGTTATTGATGGACAAGGTTACTTGATACTCGGACTCGCGGACTCAGGTCACTTGTTGTTGTTGTTGATGTTGTTGTTAACAATCTTCAGCTTCGCCCAGCACGTTCATCCCGAAATTTTCTTGTCTGAAGTACTTTTTTGATCCGGTTGAAATACTTCCCATAGTTTCAGGACGTTGCTTCCCACTCACTTGGCCACTGCAGCGCAAACACGTTGCTGACATGATGAATATCTGGCGCTTTTTCCCCGGCATGTCGGATTTTTTCTACGCTGGCAAGGAGAAATTGAATGTGAGTATCGTTTCAGCATTCCTTTGCCCTTCCTGTGTGAATTTTCAAAATCCGAAGCTTCCGGAGTTCAGCTCTAGGGTGAGAAGTTCAAATTCTAAGAACCCTATTTGCTCAAAACTTGGTTTCTGGGGGTACTTTGACCTCCCAACCACGAATATCGCACCCTTTTGATACAAATGCGCCTGGTGCCCACGCTTCAGGCGCCGGTGCCGAAACACCTTGAATAAACAAACCTTTAAAAATTTGTCGCTGCAGATGGTTTGACCTCTTGATCACAATTATTACATGCGTTTAGGCTCAAATCGGGATGTTCGCGCCACAGGTAGCGGTGCCACATTAGCGTTAGTAACCGAATTAGCTGAATTCAACCCAAGAGGGTTTGATCACTGAACACGATGATTATTCTGCGTTCATACTTCGCGGCAGCGTTCACCAGCGTCCGACGTCCGACGACGTCATATACTAGGAAAGTATAGATATTGATCTAGCGTCTACCGGTGT